GAGGGGAAGAGAGAGCGAGGGAGAGAGAGAGAGAGAGAGAGAGCGTATGTGTGTGTATGTGTGTGTGTGTGAGAGTCAGTTTGTGTGCAGGTTTGTGTGTGTAAGTGTGTGTGTGCAAGTGTGTGGGTGTGTGTGCTAGTGTGTGTGTGTGTGCCTGTATGATGTACGTATGTCAAGGTGGGTGTATGGTTCATTGGACCACTTGCCTGGGCTGTCACTGTAGAGCGGGGTCCAGTCGTAGGTAGGTCCCATGAGGCGGCTGACCACACCGTCAACGCGCATCAGCTGAAACTTTTCGGGCTGTCCAGTGGATTCATCAAGTCATTATGTCGGACAGCGGTTCAAATGTGCCGCATGCGGCCAATTATTTTGGTGTTAGTAAGTGTGTTAAGGCACTTGCAGCACAAAAAGGTCATATAAGTGCCGAAGATTACAGGTGTTACAAGAAAGCAACTTACACAAAAAGGAGAGGAGGTACAGATGATAGATGTTTGATAAGAAAGGAAAAAGCAAACCGCACCAGAGCACCAGCCAACCACCCACATATGGCATGGTGAAACCACGCGCTCGTCAAAATAATGGAGTTAAAGAAACTAAAAATGTTCCTCCCGTTAGTTCATTTTAATCCATTTTTTTCTGGTGAGTTGGGAAGGGAGGGGGTGGGGGTATACGCCATTTATGCCTATAGAAATGAATTATTCTGGGAGGATCTTAGAATTAAACATTAATCAAAAGCACCCAAAAGTTTTGTACATTTGTAGTTTCCAAGGCCATTAAATTGATGCTTTGGAAGTCACCAAACTTAGGCAGCCATTTTCTGGCTAATTTTATCTCTCACACCCGTCGACCCCCACAACTTTCAATCGGAGATATATTGGCTTCTGTTCAAGATAGAAGGGTATTTCTTAAAGTCAAAAGCGAGACCTAAGTCCATATTTTAAAGTGTTGTCAATAACACCTTCTACCCAATACCTGACAAGCGCCTAGATCAATCTGGCCCATAATTTCAAACAAGCAATTACTTCCCACAAACTATTACTACAGCTCACAAACAAACTACTCCAGTACACAAGCAAACTACACACAAATAAACTACACACAAACAAACTACACACAAACAAATTACTACACCGGTACACAAGCAAACTACACACACACAAAACTACACTAAAACAAATTACTACACCGGTACACAAGCAAACTACACACACACAAAACTACACTAAAACAAATTACTACACCGGTACACAAGCAAACTACACACACACAAAA